TTTACTTAGGCAGCCAAGATAGGTTTACTTAATAATAATTTGAGAAAAGAGCAGTTTTGTTTAGAAAGAATTTGGTATAAGTGATTGTCAGAAAGAGTTCTCTACTAAAATTACAAATACTATTTATACTATATTATTCCACTACTTTAATATATCACAGCATCTTTATTTTTTGAATTTTATTCAAGGCCTCTACCCTATATCTCTATATGACAATATTAAAATACTCCTTTATAAAATGATATTACTCTTTCTTACAACCTTATTCAATGCTTTTCTTAATTAGTTCTATCAACAAATATGATTACTATATAATATTCTTTAACAATAATAAGAAAAAGCTCACAATATAACTAACAAATCCAAATGTTCAAAAATCTATTTTTTAATTTTCACTCTTCAATCAACATCTAATACCTCAAATACATTTACTATTGACCCTACTATGTCTATTAAAAATTGGCTATTCTTAGACTATTCACTTACTAACTGTATTTACTAAATGCCAAGACTTTTATTTTAGGTTTTCTCTAATTATTTTATACTTAAAATTAATTTAAAATAATTAATAATAGTGTTATATTGAAATGGAGGTGTAATATCACATTGGGTGTCTTAAAATAAGTAGCACAAATGTAGTTTAGAAATCTTTAATATAATTCTTCTATTACTTAATAAAGTTTCTACTTTGGCATTTTAAAAAAAAAACAAAAAAAAAAAAGTTTACCAACTTTATTTAACCCTTTAAACAATATCATAATTTCTCTTCTATCTATTAATACTACTCACTAACTATCTGTATTTACTAATGTTCAAACAATTATTTAAAGGTTTTCTTCAACCTATTCTAACTAGAATCTAGTTAGCTATAGTATTTATAGAAAATAGGGAATGTAATGTCACATTGAGTGCCTACTAGTAGCACAAATGTAATTTAGAAATCTTTAATTTTAGAACTTATGATTCTATATATATAAAGTTTCTATTTGAATATTATAATTAAATAAAAAAAAAATAATAATAAATATATTAATAACAATTTTAATTTTTAAAACTACTAAATACTTTGATTCATACTTTATTTAATTGCAACCACATTATCATATTTAGATATAAAAGAATTAACAAAATTCTACAAATAAATTAATTACACAATAGAAAATTTATTATAATTCAAATAAATTATTTGAAAAAATTTTAATTTAAATAACAAATTTTATCCAAATTATTTGATTTAACATTACTTTATATTTGGTTACCAATTTTAAATGTAAATATAAAATAAATTTTCTACATACAATTAAATTTTAGCAGCTAACAAACAAAATTTGTCTGAAAATTCAATTTATATATTAAATTTTTAAATAAATATATTAGTGTTGGATTTACAAAAATCGCATAATTCTGGAGGTTTTTTTTCTTATAATGCTAGGTGTTCCTACCTCTACTCTATTTTATATATGCAATGTATATGACTTACAATTTTTATTATATAAAACAAATCATACCAACCAGATACTTAGACTACGTTGTATGGTAGTTGCTTTGAAAATTTTAAATCGGCTAGTTGCAAATTTGACTTTAAGATTAATAGATTTTCGATTCGTATCACTACCCTGGATTAGGGATGTCAACAGTTGGTTTCGGTCGGTCATGAGTCATGACCGAACCGACTGCGATGGTAATTTAAAATTTTATTTTTAAGTTAAAGCTTTTTTGATTTAGAGTTAATAAGCTAATACGGAATAAATTTATATTTAAATTATATAATATGTAATAATATAATATATAATTAATAATATAATATTTTATTATCAAATAAATTTAATAATAGAGACAAATATAAATTTAGACTTATAGTCTAGAAAAAACCCATTGGAAAAAAAACCTTAAATAAAATATAATAAAATCGTTCCGGGTTTTATTTTTGTTCGTTATAGTACTGGTCACATTAAATATTGAGACAGTATTTTAGATAATATATGCTTATGTATACAAACACAAGTGCAATACGTAAAATTATCGCACATATATAAGATGTGAAAAATAGACAATGCATAACGATATGTGACGAACAGAGTCACGCGGACCAATCAAATGCTAATAATTGTACAAACACATTAACTTGCCAGTAAACCATGCACTACGTGCTTTGTTCCTGGTATTACATTTATTTATTAAATATCATTTTGCTTATTTGGTTAAATTTGGTTAAATTTGTTTATTACAATAATTTTGGCACAATCCATAAAATCAAATCTATTTTTGTTCCATGATAATCAAATATAGTATCGGTCAGGATTTGTGGCCGAACTAGTATTGGTCACGGTCATGACCGAACCGTTGACATCCCTACCCTGGATACTAACATGAGTTAGATATACATCCCGAGTATAAAGCCAAACTTTTACGGTAGTTATAACCTTGATTTAACTTCTAAATTTTTATATAATTTATCAATTATTTTTTTATAACGTTGTGCAACCTCTCGTCTTTTAACTTTGAACCTGTTTAAATAAATAATAATTCAATAATAATATAAACAGAACAAATACATATATTGATTATTCTAAATCTTGTTAACAAAGATTATCACCGCTCTAATTATTAGAGCTAATTTTTCTATCTCTATTACAGATGATAATTACTGGTGAGATTTAGTATGTACTCATTATTAAATTCAGAACTCACGTTGGGGTTAATAGTCCATTTTCAACAGAGAACGCTATAGTATCCAAGTGCGCTGCTTTAACTTGTTCAAATCTAAAATAAATATATATATGTCACAATAATTAATCTAACATACAAGCTATAACAATAAAATAAAACCAACCCATTAAGTCCGTTATTTTTTCCATGAATATTTAAACGTTTCAACAATTCGTTAACAACGACATCATTTTTCACTAATGTTTCATAATCCAGACCTCCAACAATTTGATTTGCCCAAGAAATAAAATTTTCTCTGTCTGGAATAACTATTGTGACTAAAGAAGATTGACGATCATCACCAAAAACAAAGATTTGAGATATTAGCGGGTCGTTAATATAGACGGTTTCAATCTTATTAAAAAAGAATTTTGGGGATTAGTATTATTAAAAAACAAAAAAAAGAAAAAAGAGAAAAAAGATTGCTTACTTTTTCAGGGACAATATATTCACCTTGAGCAAGCTTAAATATATTTTTAACTCTATCAATAATTCTTAGACATCCACGGTCATCAATTTCTCCCACATCTCCAGTATGCAACCATCCCTCCTACAGTGATATTCAGATTAATTTAAAATTTATAAAATGATTACACATGTTTGAATAACCAACCTTGTCAATAGTTTCTTTTGTTTTTTTTTCATCCTTAAAATAGCCCTTCATAATAGAAGCACCCTTAAGACAAATTTCGCCTCTTGGATTTGGTTTATCGGTGCTGTAATAATTTAAGGATGGAACATCTACGAGCTTGATCTCAAGACTTTTATTATCATTTTTTTTTCGGATTATTAGTTAAAATTGGATTAGTAATGATAATAATTAAAAAATGCCAATTATTACCATGATGACGGCGCTCCAACATGGGATGTAATGAGGTCACCAATAAGGACTCTTGCTCCAGTTCCTGCAGATTCTGTCTGCCCATATCCTTATAGTATAAAAATAAAGTAAATAAATGAATAAAACAAGAATCAAATAATTAATTAATTAATCATAATTTAAAAAGTAATATATAACATTTATATTGCATACCTTGAACAAAAACAACACCGAGTGCGACTCTTAAAAATTCAACAACGTCTTCACTCAGTGGAGCCGCGCCACAAATCAAAGACCTTACGTTTACACCAAGAATATCGCCAATCTTCTTCTTTGCCAATTTGTCCCATTCCTCGTATTTCAATTCTCCAGTTTTTTTAAAATGCGTTAACTTCCTCTGATACGCACGTCTTGCCATCTCACCCTCCTCACCAGGCGCGTCGATTGTAGCGGCTCTTATGCTTATATATAATTTATTAAATATTCTAGGCACACTAGGAAATGATATAGGTTGCAAAACTTGAACATCTTCGAGCAATCTGTTTTGGTCACCACTGAAGTAACCAATTGAACAGCCAATTCTTATAGCAAAACCTTCAATCAAGATACCCATAATATGAGCTAAAGGTAAATAAGAAATTATTCGGGATCCTGGTGGTTCTTCATTTTCGTAGTAAACTGAACACAGTGCTGCCAAAAGATTACTATGACTTAGCATTACACCTTTAGGTAAGCCTGTCGTTCCTGAAGTGTATATAATTGCAAATAAATCATCAGGCTGAGACGGAACATTCTCCCTAAAATGCTGTTGCCCAAACTTTTCAATTTGTGAAAATTCATATAAAAGGATGTTTTT